GCACCCACTGAATATAAAACCCGGCATGACAGAGTGGGCCAAATTTGCAACTTCTACGGGAAGGAAACTGAAAGAAACTGGTATGAACACCACCCAGACCCACTTACGGAGATAGGACCTGTTACAATTCTATGGGACTACACAATACACACTGACAGAACAATCAAAGCCAACCGCCCAGACATTGTTATTAAAGACCACAAACAAAAAAGTGCCTCCTTATTGATATGACAGTCCCTGCGGACTGCAGTGTATCTTTGTAAATCTTCAAAAAGCTATCAAGTTACAAGGACCATGAAATCGAACAAATCCTGTTGTAGTTGGAGAACTCGGATTTGAAATTGTTCTCACAAGTACAGCCCACACCTTACTAAGGGCATTATCTATGTAAAATATGTTTTTTTTTTTAATTGCTTAGTGGAAAAATGTCATGATGCCATTTCTAACCTTAGGTCTCTGGTCGGGACCCGGAAAGAAATGAGTCCACACTAGGAACCAAAGGAAATTAAAAAAAAATAAAAATAAATGATATGTCATTTCAGAATGTAGGCTAGAATGATTTTCCATAGTTTTTCTTATTTATTAACTGTCAATTGCTATGAATTTGAATCGGAGTGTTTTTCAGTTGCCTCTTTCATGGTTTGAATTCAAAGATTTGTCAGACTGATTGCAACCCAAATAGATAGTATCCCCCCCTACTATTTAATCCATAAATGAGGGAAGAAACTGATTCATGCTTATCCCAAGCATATTTCAACGAAAGTGAATGCCACAGGATAGGCCGGAATGTGAACTCGACTCGCTGATTTTAATAATAATACAAAAAAATTGCACTCACAAGTTCAGCTCACACATTACGATCTTTATCTATGTAAAATGTATGTGATTTTAGTTTTTTTTTTTTTACAAAAGTGATCTGTGTAAAATATCATGAAGCCACTTCTGACCTTGGGTCGCTGGTTGGGACCCGGAAGGAAATATGTATACAACAGAAATCAAAGGAAATAATAATAATAATAATAATAATAATAAAAGAAAATCAGGAAGTTTATACTTATTGACATAGCAGTACCATCTGAGAGAAACATCTTCATGAAAATTATCGAGAAATTGTTCAAAACAAGGACCTGGAGATTGAGATTAACAGATTGTGGGGAATGAAGACTGGAACTGTACCAATAGTAATCGGAGCACTGGGCCTCGTGAGAAAAGGAATTGACAATGTTACTAACAGTGTCCCAGGTAACATTAGCATACAGGTTGCCGAGAAGAAAATTAAATGACAGTTCTTCTATAGGGCCTAAGGACCATAGTTTGGAATCTGGCTCTACAGGTTACAAAGCGAAAAACATAAGATACACAAATAATAATAATAATAATAATAATAATAATAATAATAATAATAATGACGATGATGTGGGGAATGAAGACTGAGACTGCATCAATAGTAATCGGATCTCTGGGCCTCGTGAGGAAAGGAATGGATAATTTTACTAACAGTGTCCCAGGTAACATCAACATACAAGTTGCTCAGAAGATCGCCCGACCAGGAACATCCCGTATACCAAGAAAAGTGCTATCAATTACATGACGATTTTCTTATAGGCCCTAAAGACTATAGTTTAAACCCGGCTCGACAAGATACAAAGCAGGAAACATAACATACACAAATGCTGCTACTACTACTACTACTACTACTATTACTACTACTACTACTACTACTAATAATTAAAACAATTTTTTTTTATCTTCATTTGTTTTTTAATCACATACCAGGTCACCAGGTTATAACCAATGTCATAGGGCAAGCGAAGGGTGTGAGTTTTTTAGTTTCCGCTTAATTAAACAAAAGGAAGCTATTAAAAAAAAGAAAACTGAAATGGCAAAACTGTTAGAAGTATTTTTTATTTATTTCCTGAAGGGATGGTGGACCAGAGATTTTGTTGATTTCTTCTTGAGTTCCTTTCTTTTATCAGACCCAAAGCTCCAACAAGAAGAAGACCAGTTTTAATTTATATATATATATATATATATATATATATATATATATATATATGTGCATAATTTTAAATATTAAATTTTTTTCCGGACGCGTACAACTTATGTTCGAAATGGTATGACTAAAACTGTTTTATCTAAAGTTTAAAATAATAAAGGTGTAACAGAGTTTAAATCACTAACTAAACACTACATTAAAATGAAAAAAAAAAAAAGCCACAATTCACATAGACATTAATCCCGTTTTGATCTTATTCAGTTTTCTCCGTGTCGGCGATGGACGGCATGACAATTTCATGTATGTTGTCTGCGTAGCAGATGTCATCGTCACCATCGATGTCATAGTCCACAGAGTCATTTTGTCCTTCTCTCTTGTAAAGAAGCACAATTGATGTCCATCTCTGTTTTATGCCGCTTCAGAGAAATTGTCATTAACCACTGGAATGTTTGTAATGTTTGTTTTCTCTTTGTATTTTTATGTGAAAATGTTCGCGCATTTGCTTCAAATAATGTGTGTCAAAACAATGCAAACGATAAAATATTTTAGATTTTAATCTTTTTATGATCTCCCTATATATGCTGAATTTCTTGGGGACAAGGGCGATTATGGTTCTCCCTAACTTCCTCTCCTTTGTAGCTCTTAGCAATGATTTTCTTTTTAATTGTTCGGATGAGACCTTTGACTTTTGAATTTAAGCGCAGTACTAGACTGGATTCGACTAGCTATGGGTAAAAAGCAGGACAGACCGGGTTCTATAGCCTTGGATAGCAACTGGTCTACCGTAGAAAGAAATGGCAACCTACTAATAAAATCTGCCTCGTCAGTCATGTATCGAAAGATACAGGATCACCTAAGCGTGTATCACGCATAGAACATAACTGACTGACTCGACTGGCGTCTAGATCTCATCAATTTACACTTGAATTGGCTAAATGTAATCACAAATTCTATACCAACGGTTTCTTTTCTCGTTTGTGGACCTTCCCTTCCGGCACCATGCTTTCCAGCCAACTTTAATTTGCAAAGATTTAAATGCAAAATCAATCAAAATATCTACTGCCCTCCTGATTACTCATTTCTCTTCGTACCTATTATTAATAAACGGAGGCAACTATAAACAACAGAAGAACTCAAAATTGATTACTGCATTTAAGTATTGCATTAATATTTAAGCTTACTTTTTAAAATATTTTTTTCGTCGCCACTTAATTTAAAGACAAATTTGATGTACGTAGGTCCTTACTTTTCGCACAAACAATTATTTTATTTCGTGGATGGCTTTCGCTGGGTTCCGTAATTAATTTCGATGAATCCAAAATTTATTTCCAAATTATAAAAAATTGTTTTAAAAAAACTTCGTCTCAAAGGAATG